GTTATTTTATCTTAAAATTATATTTATTATGAATAATTTGAACTATTTCAGTAGTTGCCAGGTGTGGTCGCGCACGCCTGGTTTGGGGGGCTGAGGCAGGAGGATTCCAAGTTCAGGGCCAGACTCAGCAATTTAGCAGGGCCCTAAATAATTTAGTGAGACCCTATCTCAAAATAAAAATGTGGAATGTAGGGATGTAACTCAGGTAAAGCATCCCTTTGTTAAATCGCCAATACCCTGCTCTTTAGAAAATAAATATTGTTGTTATTCAGTGTAATTTTTCTTTTACTCCCTCTTAAATTTATATGGTTAAGGGGAAGAATGGATAGAAAACATAGTTTCTTTGTACTGGAGGGGAACAAATTACATGTCTTTATAAGGCTGTTATCAAACCTATTTTAGTTCTTTGCGTCTCCTGTCCTCTCATTTAGTTCTGTTTCCATTGACCCTTATTGCTTTCTCTTTGTAATAAGGACAGTAGTAAATATTCAGTTGATTCTTCTTTTGTATTTAATATTTTAATAACTTTTTCAGTGTTATAGTTTGAAATCCTGAAAGAATTGATAACTGAAGCAGTGTTATTGATTTTTTTTCCCTTTAAAAGGGAAATTTAGTAATAGCTATTTGCTTCTTTTTCTCCTGATACTTGAATTTTCAGAACTCCCTTAAACTCTTACATCACTCATTGTATTAACATTTATTTTACAATTTCACCTGTGATATCCTTCTTCTTTTTTTGGTGGAAGGGGGACTAGGGATTGAACTCAGGGGCACCTAACCACTGAGCCACATCCCCAGCCCTATTTTGTATTTTATTAAGAGACAGGATCTCATTGAGGTGCTTATTAGCACCTCACTTTTGCTGAGGCTGGCTTTGAACGAGATCCTGTTATCTCAGCCTCCTTAGCCACTGGGATCAAATCATGTGCCACCATGCCAAACTTGTGATATCCTTCTTATACCACTAGTTGTTTTTAGATTTTTTATATGTGTTTATTTCCCTAACTAGATTTTAAGTTATTTGCTAATGAAGGCCTTATTTTACTTTCTTTTTTGTATACAGTCCTTAAAAGGTTATTTTATTTATTTTAAATACTTTTAACCTTAATTTTTCTACCACCTTTTTAGCTGCTCTTTCTGTTCATTTAGTTTCAACTTTTTTTTTTTTTTAGTACCAGGGATTGAACCCAGAGGTGCTTAACCACTGAATCCATTTCCCCAGCCCTACTCTAAACTTCTTGATGCCATTCACTTTTCTTTCAAATAGGCAAATTCATAATTGACCTTCTTGTAGTTTTATATAGTATTCAAAGTTGAAATGAATTATTAATATAGACAATATAATGAGTATCAGGTCTTTCTAGTATTAAAGTCAGAATATTTATTGAGAAATTTTCATTCTGATATTAGGGACTGTTAAAGATCATGTTTTCTGTTTGTTGTTCTTTTTTGGTAATGTTAGGGCAGAACCCAGGACTGTCATTACATAATACTAATACTAATACTCAGCCACACTCTATCCCAAAGTTCATCTTTTCAGAGAATGTGCAGTACTTACTGGGAAAATTTAATGATTACTAAACAGTAGGATACAAAACTCTGTTTGCATGTACTATATAGTATAAAAATTGTTTAAAAAATGACTGTATATGAAGAAAATATATCAAAATGTTTTCACATTTCCAAAAAAAGCATGTATTTTGTCTTGAAAAAATTCTTACAAATGTCATTTAAGAAATAAAGGGAAATTGATTTTTATTTTGAAGTTAGACTTAATGTGATAGTATGTTAAACAGTGGTTTGCAATCCTGGTTGTACAGTATAATCAGATTCTCTGATTGGAGGGTTTGGTTATTGGTATTTTTAGTAAAGCTCCCATGTGATTCTTTTGTGCATCAAAGTTGAGAACCACTGTAGAATCTGGCACACAGAACACCTGAATTATTTTAAGTGTAATCATGTTTGCACACACGTTTTTATTCTTGTTTTTTGATCATTTTCTAGGCAAGTAGGAGCTTACAGGTAGGGTACCCTGTGCTTCTGTTGTGGATTTCCACCTTAATGTAGAAGACTTGTTACTGCTGATGTATTTGCTCGTGAAAAGAACTCTAAGTAGTTAATGTACACATTTTTCATATTTGTTATTGGAGTGAAGTGAAGACATATATATTTAAGGTAGATGTTTAGGCACATGCTGGAAATAATGTTCTCCCTTCTATCCAGTGAAGATTTGTTGTATTTAGGGCCTTCATCCATGACTTGTGAAAACAGCTGTGACATGGTGATGTTGCATCACCAAGGATAGAAGCTTGTATTCTTTGCTTCTAGATAACGTATATTCTATTTTGTTTCAGGAAAGTAAGTGGGCAGAGAGAAATGGCAGATTGATAATAAATTGGATAATGCAAAAAAAGAAATTCTCTTTCTCTTTTTTTTTTTTTGCTAGCAAAGACAATAAGAAATTATTTTTTTGAATTGTACTCATCCTTTGTACTCATGCCAGTAGCAGAACTGGAGGTGGAGATTAGGTTTTTGGATCATGTAACACAATACTTCATTGTATCACAGTCTTACCAGTGTGAACTGATAGACATCTGTACTTCAAAGTTGCTTAGAAAGAAGTTTGCAGACTGATGTTTGATTTTCCTTGCTGACGTTATGAGAAATGACCTGAATTTTCAATTCATATGTCATAATTTTTTGGTAGGAAGAAGAAACTTTGTACAGCTTCATTTTTAAATGGCAGCCAGTTCATTTTAGATGGTGCCATTGAAATATATCACATTTTAATTTTTTTTTCTGTTGTCATCTTCATTTTGACACTTAGAAGTCTTAAAGAAACGTTTAGTGATATTCTAGTTAAAATGTCAGTCCCAATTTCTTTTCTAAATCTTGGCTATTATAGAGTTGGCAAAGTATTTTAGATTTGAAATATGTTAATAAAAATTTAGTTATGAGTTAAGGTATTTTCTCCAACAGAAATAGCTAGCTTTGGCTAGAATGCAGTGCCAAGGAAGTAGCTCCTTTATTTTGTTATAATGGAAGCTTATTGGATTAGAAAAAAGTATGAAATGAGCTCAAAGAGCCTTCATTGTAGTGGGTCTTTCATTATAATGGCCTGATTTATATGGTTGATTCTCATTATTATAAGTTTAATAAATTATTGCCTGAAGGAAAACTTGAAAATTAAAGTTGATATGACATAGGTTGAAACTGAATAAATCAAAAATTTTATACTAATGGTAATAAGCCAGGATTTGTCTTTGGAAAACCCCTTACAAACCTGAATTATATTATTGAACAATTCCAAAAGTTAACCAGAATTCCTTCTCTTTATTTCCTTTTCTTTATTTCTTACACTGATTCTGTGACTCTTACTCCGTCATTGCCTTGCAACATTATACATGTCTCTCCAGCTACCATTACGTTAGAGAAGTAGATACAGGTTATGGAAAAATTTGAGGTGCTGAGTAGGCAATTTAGGGATTGTATCCTCGAACTTCAATATGTTGATTGGTTCAGTATGTTGATATGTTTCTAAGGAGTTGATGCCATGCCAAGCCCATGTGAACCACTGTTCCAAGGCTGGGCTGGCAAGTATACTTACCTTGACAGAAGAGGAAAGCTTATTTTTAGGTCCTGATCCAAGTGTTACACAGGTTGCCCCTTTGCTGTTATACTCATTCATAACTGGTACTGCTTGACTCTAGATTGGCAGTCTTCCTGTAAGTACTTTAACTAGGGATTTCTATTTTTTGAATTACAAAAATCCAGGATAAGACACTGTATGTATAAGTGTGGTTTTATTTAAATCTCATGGAGCAAAATGAACTTCTGTGTCAGTTGAGGGTTTTTGAGTGGGGGAAAAAAAAACAGTTGTATATATTTTCACAGGTTTTCTGTCAGTTAAGATGATGGGCCTCATTTATGAGGTCTCTTACTGCTCTGTTGTACCTTGAACTTAAGCTATGCAGCTATTCCATCCAAAATAATTTTCTTCATACCTCCTAAAGAAGAGCAACTCTCAAATTAATTTGGAAATGTTTACTTCCTTATTTGAAGGTTTCACTGCTTTTAAACTTTTCCCCAATTCTCAATAAATATGATAGATAATAAATAAGAAAATATCAAAACACTAAGTAAATACTAAATGAGTAAAAATTCACAATTTAAGAAGTCCATAAAATTCTGTTTCTCACCCTTCCATATTTATTTAACAAGGCAAAACTCCTTCCCAGCTATTATTTCTTGTTGTTCAGAATACCTTTTTGTGAATGTATGCCTCTTTGATAGTAATTTTATTTGTTGATGTCCCTTAAGATATGAAATGAATGCAGTTCAGTAAGTTAGTGGAAAATTGTCACTAAGCCCCATTTTCTTTTAGACATTAAATTATTATATGGGAAATAAGTTGTAGGGCTCCTTGGTTTGGAAAATAATGGGAATCAGTGTCAGAAAGGAAAGTATACAGTTCAGTGGACAGTGTTCGCTTGCTTTGGAGTTCCAGAATGCTAAGGTCTGTTTCTTCTAGTTCTGATACACTGGAACAAACTGTGATGAGAAACAGCAGAAGAGTGGGAGTTTGCCATTAATTGGTTAAATCAGGTATTGAGATTTTATTAAATCTCAGAAATATCTTGTAGCCCCTTGGTGATACAGTTAACATGGTTGCTGGTCTTTGCTTAAGGGAAAGCTTAATAAAGATGAAAATTAGTTTAAACGTTTTTCTTAAACTTCTGCAAAGACTGAGCTGTGTATCTAGTTTTGTATATTTTATTGGTTTTGAAAATGGAACTTGAGAGATATATAAGTTATGGACTATTCTGAGAGTATCAAAGATTCTTAAATAGTTGGGCTTAATCTTTAAACAGTTATAAATCTAAGTATGAGAATTACAGTATTTTGAAAGAAATTAATTTATTAGTCTGTGTTGAAAGTTCAGTGTAAATAACTCAATAATTTTAACTAGTACTGGTACTAATTAAGTCTTATATTTTAAGGAACCTAGTGACAATGGACCTCTTTTTACTGAATTGAAATTTTACCAGCGAGCTGCTAAACCAGAGCAAAGTAAGAAATACAATATACATATATTAATACTTTTTAAATGACCAATCCCATTTTAGGTTATTTTGTGTAATCTAAGACTAGAACATTACATCTTTTGACCCTTGGTAATTTTTGCTTTATAAATAAATTTCATTTAAATGAGACTTGTATGAAATGATTCGGATTTCTTAATAGATTTAACTGATGATATATAGAATAAAAATAAAGTATGATTTAGGGAATATTGTTAAAAAATTTAGCAGTAACTCTAATCTGTGAGTTAGACTCAAGAATCTCCAAATCTTTTTGAGTATTTTTCTAAATTCTGTAGAGCATAACCTGGGGGGTTGCATAATTGATCAGATAGAACAGAGAGTGTCTGAGTCAAGAGCAGAACTTCTTCCAGCTGCTCTGCTTCCTTCTATCTTAACTCCTCCCCTCTAAGAATCCAAAACTTACAATAGGAACAAAGAAAAGCTACCAAAAAGCTACTGTATCTCCTAGATTTGTGTTTGCTGATTGAGGAAGAGATCTAATGACTGAGGGAAGAAAACCAAACTTACAGATTGGGCTAGAGGGCATGTTGTCCTATGGAAACAAGTAAACATAGCCAGAGTTGAAATACAGTTGCTTTTTGCAGGTTTTTCACTTTAAGAGCAATTTAGGTAACAATTTTGTAGGCTAATAAAAATGCTTTTGTTTTTGGTTATACTGTTCTTTTCTTCTTTTATGAATAAAGATGAAGTCTTGTGTAAGTACATCCTACTTTTTTAGTGATTTTTTAAAAAAATTATTATGTGTATAGTAGTTGTAATCACAAGCCTCTGTTTTAACTTGCAGTTCAGAAATGGGTTCGTACCCATAAAATGAAGTACCTTGGTGTTCCTAAGTATTGGGGATCTGGCCTACATGATAAAAATGGAAAAAGGTAAAAACTGCATGGTTTGTTTTTCTTTTCCCTCTTTTGAGCATTTCCTGTCCATTTGGTTTAGTCAAGAATTATGTATTGAGCATCCAACAATGTCAGTAGGTAAGAGTGTGTCAGCGAATAAGAAGAATAAGCTGTTATCTCTACCTTCTGCTTTACATAGCAGCAGACTGATACTCTGTTAGAAAGGGTGTGCCTCTCTAATTTAACTACTTCTATGGAGCAATATCAATTAGCTAAAGCCTGACAAAGGGAACAAAGCCCAAAGGGCCCTACATTTCCCTCCCTTTGAAATCAGCACATGCATACCACTACATTCTTGAGGCAAAAGAGAGCCCTTAGGATTCCATTTGGTATTTCATGTTGGATATATTATCTGACCATGGGAAATTAGAGTCTTATTCTTTATGAAGGCTTCAGTTTAGTTGATGAGAGAAAACAAAATGCATGAAACATTTCAAGAACAGTTAAGTGCTAAATTGTGACTTTGTCTCAAGATATTTTAGGAATTGAGAATAGAATGTTGTTGGCATAGTTGAGTTGGAGAAAACTCCTAATACTTTGATGAATAATTGGTGCCTTTTAAATATTCACATGAGTGATTGGAACTGGGTATATTGGTTAGAATGCTCTTAGTTACAAAGAAAGGAAAACTTTGACTCAGCCATCTTAATCACCCGGGGCCCAGGTATCTTGTCTTCCTATTTTGCCTTGGCTGTAGTTCTCCATTGAATGGCCTCAGGGTGGATGTCCCACTTCTAGACACAGACCCAATGGCAGAAAATGATACCATCACCTCCTGAGTTTCCCTTTTCTAGAAACCTTCCCTGGAGTCCTGTGGCAGAATTCCTCTTACATTTTCTTGTCAGGCTTTTGTTAGTGCTTACTCTCTCACTAGGCACTGGGAGGGGCAAGGTGGTCACAGGTATTGACTTGGTGTAACCCATGGTTGTGTGGACCAAATTGGTGCCATTAGAAAAGATAGAGCAGGGGCAGCTCTTGGCAATCATCCATTTCTGGGGAGTGTGGGAACTCCCTGATATCACATGTAACATTACCTGTGGTTTTGATAGAACAAGTTTGCCTTGAGGTGACCAGAGCCAGAGAGACACGTGGGTCATAGGCTGGCATAAGCTGTTGGCAAGGAAGCCGGAAGAGAACTTCAGAAGTGCCAGAGTGTAGGGTAAACTGAGTACATGACTCGTGCTAGAATCATGGGTGAGGTTTAGATTTACTTCTTAGGTGGAAGCTCTTAAAAATAACTATTATAGGTCTATCAACAGTTTAAAAAAAATAGTAAGGTTATTCTTCTAACCACCTCTCCTGCCAAAAATCATCACTTTTCCCTGTAGCTTATTTAAATTAATACACACAGAGAGCTTAGAACAGTGTTAAGATTGTAAAAATGTAGCTGCTTTCATTATGAAATCATTTATACTGATCTATATTTTCCCATTACTTGAATTGTCACATCCAACTCCCCAGAAGAAAATACATGAAAGGTTTTACTTTAAAGGAGTTCTTCAGAAATAACCTTTATTTTACTACTTTGTGATAGATAGAATTGTCTTTCTAGAATCATGCTTCAGTTGATATTTATAATTTAGAAATGGTGAGATTAGGGATTGTTTGGAATAGTGATGGGGTGATCTGTGGGTAAAGACAAAGACCTATTTGATATGATTTGTTAATAGATCCTATGTTGCACCAAGTAACTGTGTTTAACCCTCTTTCAGACTGTCAGCAGAAGTTTGTATTTTTGTTATGTATATGTTATTATAATATTACACCCATCACTTATTTGTTAAAGCAAAAATGTACATGTGTCCTAGTCTCATCTCAACTTTTCAAACCCTGTTATACAGAAGGAATCAGAAAGTCAAAATCACTGTTCCCTCTATTATTTCAGGATACCAGGAAATCTTAGGAATGAATACCTATTGCCACTAATTAATTGTATGACTTTGGATGTATTACTTGACTCCATATGTTATTTTGTTTATTAAAAGATACATAGACAAGCAGATCTTCAATTCTCTTCCAGTTCAAAAATGGAGAGAATCCTGATTTTTTTTTTTTTGTAAATTTGGTATGTTATCTTTTAATGTTAGTTAGCTCTTCCTTCCCTTTAAATTCATGTTGTATTTCTAATATAGAAGCCTACAACATTTAAGTGGGATTTTTGTCTTCTAGTGCTGTTTATTTTGTACTGTGAATATAGTGGTTAACTGCTGGAGGACAGATGGGGTGACCAGAGTATCTGCCTTATGGATGGGGCCAGGCTGAAGTGCTCAGAGCAGTGCTGTGCTCACTCCAGGCATCCAGCATACGCTGGCTCTTGGGAGGATGATGATTCGTAATCCTACCCTATGGGAAGATAGCTGGATACATTTTGAGTGTGGTCTTGGTATTTATTGATTTTTTTGAATGATTTAACTAGACAAGTTAGAAATTGGAAAGCTTCTGCAAAGCAGTAATGTTTTTCAGTACATACTGAATCTTAGAATTGGAAAGCTATAACAGACCTTAGAAAGGGTGAGTTTTCAATACTTCATTTTATGTCTGTAGAAGTTGTGGCCTGAGGAAGTAATGTTACTTGCCCAAGGTGACATGATTGGTTTCTTGCAAAACTAAAAATCCTCATATTTTTCCTGGATATTTCTTCTTCTGTAAATCTCAGCCAATAAGTTTTTAATGTACCATCCGTTTATACCATTTAGACATTTTATGTATCTTTTATAGCATCTGTTGATGATCATGATATAGATTATTAGTGCTGCTGAAATGTACCTTAAAATAGAGAAAATAGTCAAAAGAATGAAGCTATTATCTAGGAACATAAATTAATACTAACTATGAGAATAATTAGTGCTTTTATTATTTTGTTTTATTTTTGCTATAGATGAATCTGGTGGATTCTCTTTGTGGGCTTTATCTTAAATTAAATATTATCTCTTCTAACTAGTTGAGACCAGGAAGAGAGCCCTTGTATAGGTAAAGGGCAAGGTAGGAAAGCACTGACTTTTTTTGAGATTTCTGGTTGAGAGAAATATTTCAAATGTTTGTATATATTTCTTTGTTTCATTTTTAGACTACTGTCTTACTCTATATTTCCTTGAAAAAATTACTTTGAAAGCAGAGTTCTCAGTGCAAAGTATGGTTTTCCTGAGTTATATTTTCTTCATTGACTTTTCTTGTTTGACTTCAGTTACAGGTTTATGATAATGGATCGCTTTGGGAGTGACCTTCAGAAAATATATGAAGCAAATGCCAAAAGATTTTCTCGGAAAACGGTCTTGAAGCTAAGCTTAAGAATTGTATGTGAGCTACATTCTTCATGTTTTTTTAAAAAATCATTTTTTTAATAAAGCAAAGGCTGTATTAACTGTGTGTTGAAGTTTTGTCCTCTGCTGGTTGTGTTAGGTACTGCATTAATTTATTTTGTATGATATTTTCCATAGCTGGATATTCTGGAATATATTCATGAGCATGAGTATGTACATGGAGATATTAAGGCCTCAAATCTTCTTCTGAGCTACAAGAATCCTGACCAGGTAGCTTTGGAACTTTAATTTCTCCTGTTTAAAATGTATTATTTGAAAACAAATATGGTTGCTTTGAACTCTTGAACCCATGCAGAAGTTTTACTTTTTGAAGTAAAAAGGTAATAATAATATTTCTTCTTGACACTTTTATCTAGTTAACATTCTACATTTTTGATGCAATTTATTGGCACTTGATCAAGTTGGCTATTTTGCCCTAAATAATATTCAGAAGAAGTACTTGTGATACAAAATGAATTTCAAATAGCTGTTTGGGGGTGGAAGCTTAAAATTATATAGTACACCAATGAATTATGTTTGCCTGTCTGCTTTGTCACTTTTTTTATTTCCTTTGTTCAAGAAATCCATCAAATGTAAGTGTTCTGTTACTTGGAAAATTTGGTCTTTAACATGTTGATTATTCAAATCAATTGGTTTACAGAAATATCTGAGCTGTCTAAATTTGTATACCCTTAGTGTTTGGAATTTAAATGTGCGTTTTTTAGATTATTACATTCTCTTTGTGATATTTTACTGTTTAAGGCAAGGAGAAAAGCTAATGTTATTATACCTTTTTGGGGGGATCAGTTTAGATGGAGTAGAAGAATCTATATAATTTTCTTGTATCTTCCATAATTTTGATAAAAGTGAGCTTTAGTTGACACTCATAGTTGGCCCTTAATTCTCATTTCTTAGCTTGATATATATAGAAGATTTAAACATTCTAAATATGTTGGGTACTTTGATTATTGCAATCATTTGTTAGTATTTTATGTCATTCTTTTTTTCTTTCAAACCTTGTTTTAATTCCCACTTGCTTCATTTTGCTTTTGCTTTGGCTCTCTTTTTTACCATTATCTTGTATGGTTGCTCCCCTCCATTCCCACATCAGTAGTGGTGGGCATAAGGGTCGCTTAACAGAAGAAAGTTGCTATAGTTTGACTCACAAATCTTAAAAGCAGTCTCAGAATTAGTCCAACTCTTTCTAGCCATCTCATTTAAGATGCTTCTCTCTTGAAAATAAAATAGCCAAAAACCAGAGCAGTAAGGATTCCATTAATTAAAGTAGTGTGGACTTGTATAATATGATGAAAATGCAACTTACATTAGTTTGCACTTGACTAAAGCATGCTGATTTTGTTTATGTGGAAATATTTTGTAGCTCTGTTATCTTTCAGAGAATATTCTTTCAGTATTAGATCTATCTTTATATTTTTTACTTCAGTTTCCTGTTTTGCCTGCATGCATATATTTGTAATAGTTACCCAGAATTAGAGATGTAATATATGGCTATAGGATAGAAGACAGCCAAATATGCAGTCTTATGTGCTACTCAGATCCACATGTATCTGCCCCCAGATATGTGTGTATGTAGTATTCAGATTTAGCTTAAATTATGAAGACTTGCTTTAATATACAGTATTTAAATGTAAATAAGGGCCTTATCTAAAAGTTCTTAATGATCTTTATTAGGATCCTTGAACCATTTTTTTTTTTAATTTTTTTTTAGAGAGAGAGAATTTTTAATATTTATTTTTTAGTTCTTGGCGGACACAACATCTTTGTTGGTATGTGGTGCTGAGGATCGAACCCGGGCCACACGTGTGCCAGGCGTGTGCACTACCGCTTGAGCCACATCCCCAGCCCCTCCTTGAACCATTTTTATGACGTAAATTCACATTTGATTATTTTATGAGTGAAGTAATAGGAATAGAAGATAACTTGTATCTATCTGTTCCGTTAGCAGTCTTATGCTCTGTGTGCTTTTCTTTGCTAGTTGTATTGCCACATGTATTGATGATTGACTTTGTGCTCAATTTTGTTTTAACTTCTCTATAGGATAAAGTAAGATTTATAAGAGTTGGTAAATTGAGGAGACAAGATTGGTTACAAGTTTAGTACATACATTAAAAAGTATACAAACTCTGGACCATGGCGACATATCATTTAACATTTTTATTAAAAAAAAAAAATCTTGAGCTGGATGTGTGGCTCCGTGGCAGAGTAACTTGCCTAGCATGCACAAGGACCTGGGTTTGGTACTCAGAACTGCAAAAAAATAAGTAAAAAAGGTGTTTTTTTTTGAAAGCCTTTCGGAATTGAATATTTGTTATTGTGTACATTTTGCTTCTAACTTGTTTGTGGTGCTGTAATTTGTCCTTGTGGGTGAATGCACCCTCAAATGAAGTATTTTATTTCTGTACAGCAAAGTAATATAGTTACAATGATTTTGGCTTTAATTTGTCTTGGTACTTGGAAATTTATAGGTTTACTTGGTAGATTATGGCCTTGCTTATCGGTACTGTCCAGAAGGAGTTCATAAAGAATACAAAGAGGACCCCAAAAGATGTCATGATGGCACTCTTGAATTCACCAGCATTGATGCACACAATGGCGTGGGTATGTCCTCGGTATTTGAATGAGAAATATGCTGCTAATATTTTCAACAGAATTCCTACATGAGTCTTAATTATGCATAAATATAAACAGGGAGATAAGAATTAAAGAGGCAGAATGGGATGGAGATAGAGGACAGAGGTTAGACTGCTACAGTTATATAACATGGCCCTCATGTGTTCTCTTCCCTCTCATGTCCTATCCTTCTAAGATGTCCAAGAATGTTGCAGTGGCAAGGTGGTTCATTTCATTACAGTGAAGATTTCTTTTTGGTTTTAAATAGCTTTAATTGAAATATTGGTTTGTTTTCTTTTCTAATGTCTGTAAGTTTCTTATTCAGCTACAATATTAGAACAGGTAGCTTTTATTTTGTCACCGATTAAGCTTATTTCTTCTGCAGTCATTTATATTTTCTATGTCGAACACTGGAGAGTCTCAAACACCCAGTTCTTAACATTTTTAGTATCTTCAGGCTTTCCAAAGACAATATTAAATGTGTCATTGTTTTATAGTTTATTTCCTCCATGTATAGACTTAGTTTGAAATCCTAGGGTTTGTCAGTAATACTTGTTTTACCTTATTGCACTATATGTATTATACGTATATGTATATATGTATATATAATATACATGTTTTTATATAATACATATTATATATACATATATAGTACATAATATAGGTGTCTATAGACACACACATATTTGAAATAAAAGTTATTTTATTATGCTTAATTTTCTTCTTTTGTATTTGTAGCCCCATCAAGACGTGGTGATTTGGAAATACTTGGTTATTGCATGATTCAGTGGCTTAGTGGCCAACTCCCCTGGGAGGATAATTTGAAAGATCCTAACTATGTTAGAGATTCCAAAATTAGGTAAAGAACAAATTGAGTTATTTTGGAGGGGTGGAAGCATGATAGGGCAAATGTTCTTGGTCAGAATCTCTCAATAGGAACTATAGTTTTAAATGATACTAATCTGACAGTAAGAAAGTACTTATTGAACAGGAAAGTTTCTTGGACTTCAATTTATTTTAGAAGAATGCCTATGAGAGTATTTAGGATGTAATTCAAAGTTGATTAATGTGCTCGTTACTGTTACTAACTCTTAACAATATTCTGTGACTTCAAGCTTCAAACAATGACCCATTCTTTAATTTTTAACAGATACAGAGAAAATATTTCAGATTTGATGGAGAAATGTTTTCCTGAGAAAAACAAGCCAGGTAGGAAAAGACTTCTTAAATGTTCATAGGGGTTTTGTTTTTCTGGAAAGAAGAAGGCATGGTGTTGTGAAGTGCCTTCTTTTGGAAGCATATAGGTGTTTTAAGTGGGGACATTGTACTGAGCCTGCTCGCCTAAAAAAGCACTTCCCATTTCAGAGGTGAGCTGCAAGTGAATATTCGTACTCCATTGAATTATTCAGTGCTTTGAGGAAAAGAAGCAATTTCACTCACCTGTTCAGCTGGTATTCATTGAGGCTTGTTGTATGGTAGGGACTGTTCTAGGCACTGGGATATGCATCATTGAGCAAAACAGAATAAAACCCTGCCCTTGTGGAGCTCACATTCTAGTTGGGAGTGATAGTAAACAAGTAAGTGAATTTTATCATACCTCATGTCAGTACTCTGGAACAATAAGAAAACAGAGAATAGGATTAGGATATAGAGATGTGAGAGGTAATAAAGTGGGGAGGAGGATAGAAATTTTGCATAAAGAGATCAGGAACAGCCTTACTGAATGGGGGACATTTCAGCAGTTGTCAGAGGAAGTAAGGAAGTAAGCTCTGTGGAAGGCTGAGGAATAGTTAGTGTTCTAGGCAGAAGGGACATAATGCCAAGTGGATTTGAGAAATATGTCCTTTTTTGAGCAAGAGTGTAAGGTTTGGAGAAATAGTGATATTGACTTTAAGGGAAATTTCTGGCTTCTGTTGTGACACACTATAGAGGGGCAGATTCTGAGGCTATAGTAATCAAAGCAAGGGAAGTGGCAGTGGAGGAGGGACAAGTGTGCTCGTTCTCTCTCTCTCTCACATCATATATACACAAGTCTTTTCTGGCCTTTGCTCAGTTGTCCTCCTCTTCAGAGAAATGTCTGTCCTATTTATTTATGCTATTTAACATTGCGGACTACCACCCACATCAGATATAATATGGTTTTCCCAGAATTACCCTTTGTGCCTCCAACCAGTTAACCTATCCTCATTGGCTTCACTTCTAACACCAAAGATTTGTTTCTGAGATTTATAAAAATGGAATCATACACTGAATGAAATAGATACAAGTCCTGCCCTCATGAAATTAGCCTTAGTTCTCTTAATATCCTTTTTCTTTCACTCAGTGCTTCATTTGTGAAATTTATCCTCATTGTTGCATGTTGAAGAGTAGTTGTTCATTTTCATTTCTATATAGTATTCCATTATGTTTATATACCGTTATTTATATGTTCTACTATTAGGTCATTTCTAACTTTCAACAGTTACAGATTGCCAATTGCATATACATAGAAGTATGTTGTCTACCTGCAGTTGACTTCTGTGTATTCTATAAGAGGTCACTTTTTTTTTTTTTCTCCATCTCCAGGTTGATATGGAGTTTACCCAGCAGTCTTTCTTAAAAAGACTGCTCTTTCCCTCTGATACCACTTTCTTATAAATCAGGAATAAATCTATTTCTGAACTTTTTCTTTCATTTGTTTTTTTGTCTGTTTTTGAGCTACACTCTTAATTATTGTAGTTTTATCTTACATCTTGGCATCTGGTGAAATCTGGTAGTTTAAATCCTCTTGCACTGTTTTTCTTTAAACTTGACTTTGCTATTCTTGGCACTTTGCATTTTAGTTAATAAATTTTAGAATCACCTTGTCAATTCTACATATGTACATCATGCACTAAGCTTGCTAGAACTTTGGGACTGAATTGATTTTTTAGATTAGTTTGGGTAACAATGACATCTTTGTAGTAGTGGTGAGTCCTCCATTTGACTAATATGGGGAATATATCCATTAAATTTGTTCCTACAGTTCTCTTGATGAGGTTTTATAGCTTTTTCCTACAAAAATATCTTGCTCATATTTCATTGCATTTATGTTAGGCATTTGATGTTTTGGAATGTTATTTTAAGGGGTATGTTTTAAAATTTTTGTTTTCCAACTGATTTTTTATGGATGTACAAATAGAATGGTTTTATAATGTATTTACCTTGTCTCTCTGACTTTGCTAAATTCACCAATTCAGGTTGCCTCCTTAGCGCAGTAGGCAGCGCGTCAGTCTCATAAATTCACCAATTCTAGTAGGTTTTTTTTTTAAGATTTTTTAAAAAATTTAGATTCTGTAGGAGTTTCTTTTACTTGTACTGTCATGTTGTTTGCAGCTAAAGACTTGTATTTTTTATTTTGCTCATTATGCCTTCTGTTTCTTTTCTTTCCTCATTGTATTGGTTAAAAAAATGTATGATTTTTTTCAGTAATGCTAAATAGAAGTAGTAAAATTAGATCTTTTTCATTTTTCATTTTTCTCAGGGAAAATTTTCAGTATTTTGCTAGACCCAGTGATGTTTGTTTTAGGTGTTTTGTAGATCCCTTTTTTCAGATTAAAAAAGTGGAAGTTTGGGATTTTTTCTTGTTGTGTCCCAAGTATCTACACAGAGTACCTGGCGCCCGGGCGTTCCAGTATTGGAATTAGTGAGTGTGTCTGTGTACCACTGACAGAATGCCTCCATGAATTGATGTGAAATGGAAGAAGAAGAGGAGGAGATTTAAGAAAAACAGATTTTGGCCTCAACCAGGATGGAATTCTCAGTAACAGGGAAAACTGCAGGGAATAGGTTTTAGGGTTAGGTTAGGAGTTTCGATTTGAATTTATTGGGATTTGAGGGGACAATTACATATCTAAGAACCAGCATGTGAGGCAGGGAATATGTGGGTCTGTGGGTCAGGGGAAAGAACTGTGTGTGTGCCATTAGCCCTGGAAGGAATTTGGATGTTGTACTATGTTGATCTTCTAGGAATTATTCTTATGATAAGGTTCTGCCACAGTGTGCAGAAAAACCAGAAGCTGATTTTTATGGAAAAACTGGGCCTTCTTGTTCCTTTCTTTAATTGCTTTTGGTGTGTTTTATTTTTTATTAACACAAAGAATGCTGCTCTATTTTATAGTAATATTAGTTTCCATGGCCAAAAAATATTGGCTGTGATACTTGTACTTAAGGACATTTTAGTTCCAGAATTTTATTCTAGGTTTTTTTTTCCTTAAGCTGAAAACTACAGTTATGTTATGCATATTTAAATTTTAAATCTATGTTCTCTTTTGTTATTTCTCACAATTAAAAACATGTTTTTATTTTGCCTAACAATTCCTGAATTGAAAAAAACATACTTTCGCTGGACAAATGATTAACAAATTCATATCTTAACAATGCGTTGTTGCTTGCATTTTGATTTTACCATAATCGTGAATCATTTTCTTAGGAGTAAGAGATAAGTATGTCATATTTGTGATTAAAAGTTAGAAATGGTTGTGTTATTCTTTCAGGTGAAATTGCTAAATACATGGAAACTGTGAAATTACTGGACTATACAGAAAAACCTCTTTATCAAAATTTACGTGATATACTTTTGCAAGGACTAAAAGCTATAGGAAGTAAGGATGATGGCAAGCTGGACCTCAGTGTTGTGGAGAATGGAGGTTTGAAAGCAAAAACAGCAACAAAGGTGAATTTTGTTATTAACTTATCCTTCAGACTTCTTCTGATTATAATTGCAATGAATACTGATTTTTAGGAAAGTAAAACAGTAGCTAAATGAAGAAAATAACAGATTGTTTGGCAATTAAATGTTTATCACCACTATGCAAAGGAAAACTCTTTTTATGACAACATAACAGTATGTACAGGATTGTAGAAAAATAAATATTTATATATTTCTCATGTCCAGTAGCAAGTTATTAAATATCTAAAATGATTTTAACTTGAGATGCTGGTGTCTGGCAGTGGGATATTGAAGGAGCACTAAATTAATGATTTATGTGTTATTTTCTCTCAAGTCTTCACTTAGGGTTGATCTTATTTATAGGTAGAGGAAAAGTGTTTACCATTTGAAAGTTGGCATAACTTCCTTTATAAAAATTTTCCTTCCTACCTTTCTTTTTTTTTTTGTAACAGGGATTGAACTCAGGGTCACTTGCCACTGAGCCACATCCCCAGCCCTGTTTTGTATTTTATTTAGAGCCAGGGTCTCACTGAGTTGCTTATTAGTGCCTTGCTTTTGCTGGGATTAGCCACTGGGATTATAGGCATGTGCCACCACACCTGGCTGAAAACTTCCTTTTTTTTTAGAGAGAGAGAGAATTTTTAAATATTTATTGTTTAGTTTTTGGCGGACATAGCATCTTTATTTTATTTTTATGTGGTGCTGAGGATCGAACCCAGGGCCGCGCGCATGCCAGGCAAACATGCTACCGCTTGAGCCACATTCCTAGCCCAAAAACTTCATTTTTTTTAGTTTTGGTATGTCTACCATTTTAACATTGTTTTGCTCTTTAAAGAAACGTCGAGTGTATCTGCATATAAGGGGATTACTTTTTGGAAATATGAAGAAATAATAACCTGCTATCATAGAATCATTACATAAGCATGTAAAGAGCTCTTGGTATCACTTAAAAATTTAGATTTTATAGGTGTGCATTGTTATTAATTTACTGTTGGTTAATTTTTGATACTGTTGGTTATTTATTGATAACCTTACTTTCTTCAGTAAAATCAATTAGCTTTTTTTTAAAATAAGGAAATGGAAACTACATTTAGAAGAAAAATATTTTTTCAAATTATTGGCTGTTTTTACTCTTGTTAATTCTATAAATCCCAATACATTCCTCTGGTAATTTCAGACTCCAAACTATTAGAAAAAAGCTTGAAAATTTTTCCTCTCTTTTAAAATCAGAAGCAGCCTACTAAAAGGTTTTCCTAAGCCTTTAACTTAAAAAAGAAATAGGGATTTCAAAATTGGTTCATGAATTTTACTTTCTTTGGCAAATAGCTGGTCTCTTTTTTGGTAACTTTATATTATAGAGTCTGGAATTATATGCATGTGTGTTGTCATATGTGTACATTTTTTTCTTCTTCCTTCATAAATTTGTCTTAATTGCATTTACTCCATATTTGTGGTCTACAAATGACCTGAAAGCCAGATTCAGGATTGAAATGAAGAGGGTAAAGTGGAAATCTTGAGTGAAATTTTTCATTAAGATAGTAAACTTATTGTTGCACACATGTTTAAACATACAGCATGCATTTTATTGATTAGGACAGATTTCTTTGCGTTAATATTTATAGCTAGCTCCTATAGTGTTGATTTCTAAACTGTTGTTGATTGAGAAGATCTCTCCTACAGTGAGACTTGTCTACAGTAACTCCTCCTTCCTTTGCAAATCCCTGTTGTTTGAATCTACATGCCGGATAAAATTTGTTTTCTTTGACCTTATAATTCTCTTGTGTCCTTGGGTCGTTCACAGGTCTGGAAATTCCCTGTTGGACCATCTCTTACATGTTTAAAGCTTCATTTAAGGCAGGAAAAAAAAAAGTATGCCAAATTGAACTATGAGGAGGTTTACTTCATTAGTTTATTATTTCCCTCCATGCCCCACCCCTTTCAATACCCATTGCTGACCCAAGGCTATTCTATATAGCAAAAAGATATTATTACAGGTTAAGATTAGTTTAGATAAGATCATGAAACTGCTTGATATCCATGCAACTGAAGTGAGTTAACTAGTTTTCACTTTTTCTCTTTTCATTTGTGAGATGAAATGGTCTGATGATACAGCTTTCTAAAAAGTCAGCCTGCCTGCTTGCCCCCACACCCTCCCTCCTTTCTTTTTTTCTTTCTTTCTGAAAACATTTTCTTATAATAAATTGTAAATGCCTCCACTAAAACAAATGAAAGCAGTGTTCCACTGATGGAAAAGTTGGCATCTCCCTGGGGGGGGGGGGTAAAAAAAGCTTTCTCTGAGAAACTAGTACTCTGTCTCTTTTTTGTAAGGCCTATAATTCAGTTGTCTTTTTTTGCTCTGGTTTCCAGGAGACTCAAAACTAAAAATGGTGCTTTATACTAGAAACACTATTAATTCTTATAATTAGTATATTTGCTCCCTCTTTTCCTTTGTCATAATTGTTGGAAGTAAAAAGTATATATACTTTGTGTTTATCAGAAGTCTCTCTTTGAAAGGGGTAAGTTTAAATAAGTCAATATATATTTCTTATAGGGTTACTAGAGATATCTTTTATGGTACAATTTTTAGGAATAAATTAATAATGGAATAAAGCAAGGTTTCTTTTGAATCTTGCAACCATGTTCTTTTATGGTGAAATGTATGTGCAAAATGCAGTTAAATAAGAAATTTGTGTACTTGGGAAAATATGTTCTTCCCAATAGCTAAAGAGTTTTATTTAAAGCCCAGAACTTTGGAATGGTTCAAGGCTGAAAAAGAAAGAGGCCAAGTATAAATCTGCCCTTAAAAAGTACAAAGTCCAAAGATTTTCATTGTTGATTAGAACTAAACACTTTCATTAGAATGTACATTGCAGTAGTTATTGGAGTTAGTGTGCACTCTTAAATGAACATTCAATAGTCATTGTAGATTGCCTAAATTATGTACCTGATCTGAGCTAAGTCTCTAGGCCTGCCCAGGTCAATAATGTGTGGTCCATCCTTAAAGAATGGCTTAATTTACTGGACTCCCTCTCCCATCTGGACTAAGAATGGCTAAATTTACTGGAAAGAACTCAGCAAGTTAAAAGAATGCTAATAACTCCATTAGCTGTTTTCTTCTAGGGTTTTGACTAAGTTGCTTACCCAACTCAAAAGAAAGAGCTGTTGATTGGACTCGCTTGACTTTTATCCCTAGGGAATTTTTTAGTAGATCTAGAGTATGGCCCTGAAATTTGTATTTTATTTTTTCAATTTCTGACAGTATATATTATCCCTATGAATGATCTACACATATCTTCTTTCCTGTCCCTCATTTTACCTCCCATTTTTAATTTTTTTTTTCAATTGTATTATACTAGTTGTCCTTTTTCTCAGTTTCTCTTAAAACTTATCAACTATTGTCAGTTAAACCTCTGCTGGTGCTCAGCCTGGAGCAGGGTACAAAGATTTGAATAGAGCAGCAGCCTTCCACTGAAAGTGTGCATCTTTCCTGCCCACCTGCCTATGTGCCTCTTCCCTGCTTTCTGACTTTACTATGAGCTGAGCAGCTTTCCTCATCTGGGTCCTTTTCTCATGATGTGCTGCCTCACCTTGGGCCCAGGGCAGTGGAGTCAGCCGTCTGTGGACCGCTGTCTGTGGACTGAGACCTCTGAAACCATGAGCCCAAAATAAACTTTTCCTCCCCTAAGCTGTTCTTATTGGGTATTTTGGTCACAGTCACACAAAAGCCAACTTAAAACAAACATTATTATAATTTATTTTGGGAAACATATGTATGTATTTCACATTGAGTATATATGTAGTGGATTTCTGAGGCATACGGTTTATTTATGTTCAGTTTTTTTAGTGGATACTGCCAAGTAGTTTTTCCAAAGCTGCTCTCAGTTTATACTACCATCAGAAATCTATGAGAGTTCCAGTTGCTCACTGACACTAGCTATAGCATTATACTTCAGTTTACCTATTTTAACGTGTAAACTGACTTTTATATAGTTTTAAGCTAATTTCATTGAAGAATATTGATTTTTGAGCACCTTTTCATATGCTTACTGACCTTTATCATCCCTTTTTTGGTGAAGTGCATTGTGATTCTTTTCCCCTTTAAAAAATTTTTCTTTTAATTTGTCAAAGTCAGGTACTTGGTATGTATGTACTACATGTACAACACTATCTTTTAGTGTGTGGTTTATCTCTTCATTCTTTTAATATGGTGCCTTTTGATAAATAAGTTTTTCATTTTAATGAAGCCCAGTTAATCAGTCTTTTTGTTTAGTGCTTTTTGTATTCTACTTAGTGAAATTATGTCTACCTCGAGATCATGAAGATGATTTTACTCATCACATTTAGGTCTATAATTTAACAGAAGTTGATTTGTGTGCATGGTATGAGTTAGTATGTGTCTCTCCCAACCCCCAGCCTGAACCACTTATCCAAAAGACCACTGCAGTGGGCACTCAGGTGGCTGTAGGTTTGGGACTTATTCTGGATACCCCCTTCTGCACATGGGCCTGCTTATTGTTCTTTTTGCTAGTGCCATTACTTGTTTGAACTACTGGCTTCATGATTATATCTGCTGGCGTAAGTCCTCTAACTTTGTCGTTCTTTAAGATTGTCTTTGCCATTCTTGGTCCCTTTGCATTTACAGATGAATTTTAAAATCAGATTATTACTATAGATCTATTTGATAAGAACTGTCTCCTTTATAGTATTCTTTTGGGTATGCATGTATGAAACTGTGTGTGTATGTGGGCACACGCACGTAGAACTGGAGATGAAACCCAGGGGCATTCTACTGATAAGCCACATCCTCAGCCCCTTTTATTTTTTTGAGACAGGGCCTCGATAAGTTGCCTGGACTGGTCTTGAAATTGTGGTCCTCCTGCCTCAGCCTCCTGAGTCAGAAGTATCACATGTGTGTACTGACTGGTCTAGCAGCAGTGCTCTCTTCTGTGATCATGGCTGACCCTATCTTTATTTAGATGTTCTTTCATTTATCTCAGTTGTGT